GGGACAGACACCCAGAGAGAGGGGGACAGACACCCAGAGAGAGGGGGACAGACACCCAGAGAGAGGGGGACAGACACCCAGAGAGAGGGGGACAGACACCCAGAGAGAGGGGGACAGACACCCAGAGAGAGGGGGACAGACACCCAGAGAGAGGGGGACAGACACCCAGAGAGAGGGGGACAGACACCCAGAGAGAGGGGGACAGACACCCAGAGAGAGGGGGACAGACACCCAGAGAGAGGGGGACAGACACCCAGAGAGAGGGGGACAGACACCCAGAGAGAGGGGGACAGACACCCAGAGAGAGGGGGACAGACACCCAGAGAGAGGGGGACAGACACCCAGAGAGAGGGGGACAGACACCCAGAGAGAGGGGGACAGACACCCAGAGAGAGGGGGACAGACACCCAGAGAGAGGGGGACAGACACCCAGAGAGAGGGGGACAGACACCCAGAGAGAGGGGGACAGACACCCAGAGAGAGGGGGACAGACACCCAGAGAGAGGGGGACAGACACCCAGAGAGAGGGGGACAGACACCCAGAGAGAGGGGGACAGACACCCAGAGAGAGGGGGACAGACACCCAGAGAGAGGGGGACAGACACCCAGAGAGAGGGGGACAGACACCCAGAGAGAGGGGGACAGACACCCAGAGAGAGGGGGACAGACACCCAGAGAGAGGGGGACAGACACCCAGAGAGAGGGGGACAGACACCCAGAGAGAGGGGGACAGACACCCAGAGAGAGGGGGACAGACACCCAGAGAGAGGGGGACAGACACCCAGAGAGAGGGGGACAGACACCCAGAGAGAGGGGGACAGACACCCAGAGAGAGGGGGACAGACACCCAGAGAGAGGGGGACAGACACCCAGAGAGAGGGGGACAGACACCCAGAGAGAGGGGGACAGACACCCAGAGAGAGGGGGACAGACACCCAGAGAGAGGGGGACAGACACCCAGAGAGAGGGGGACAGACACCCAGAGAGAGGGGGACAGACACCCAGAGAGAGGGGGACAGACACCCAGAGAGAGGGGGACAGACACCCAGAGAGAGGGGGACAGACACCCAGAGAGAGGGGGACAGACACCCAGAGAGAGGGGGACAGACACCCAGAGAGAGGGGGACAGACACCCAGAGAGAGGGGGACAGACACCCAGAGAGAGGGGGACAGACACCCAGAGAGAGGGGGACAGACACCCAGAGAGAGGGGGACAGACACCCAGAGAGAGGGGGACAGACACCCAGAGAGAGGGGGACAGACACCCAGAGAGAGGGGGACAGACACCCAGAGAGAGGGGGACAGACACCCAGAGAGAGGGGGACAGACACCCAGAGAGAGGGGGACAGACACCCAGAGAGAGGGGGACAGACACCCAGAGAGAGGGGGACAGACACCCAGAGAGAGGGGGACAGACACCCAGAGAGAGGGGGACAGACACCCAGAGAGAGGGGGACAGACACCCAGAGAGAGGGGGACAGACACCCAGAGAGAGGGGGGGACAGACACCCAGAGAGAGGGGGGGACAGAGATGCAGAGAGGAAATGCCAGAGCCCAGGGAGGGGGCACAGTGACCCTGAGCGGGTGACAAAGCTCTGGGTGGAGGGCAGACACTCAGAGTGAGAGGGAGGGGGGGGGGGGGGGGGGGGGGCGTGATCCTGGGGAGCGAGGACAGGGACCCTGAGAGGGTGAGGGATGGCAGCTGTGAGAGAGACAGGAAGACCCCTGAAGAGGGATGGGGACCCAAAGAGCTGTGGTGAGGGGGTGAAGAGTGGGAACACTGACACACAGACAGGCAGGGCCGCCTGACCCTTGCCAGCTCTCTGACAGGGACAGCAGCTGCGCCTGGCCTCCCGGTAACCGGAGCCCCCTGTGTATTTATAGCCCTGGCCTGGCCCAGTCCCCTGCCCCCAGGTCTGAGTTCCAGGGACAGGAGGTCATGGGCACGGGTGCTGGGAGCAGGATCCTTAGCCCCTCGCTAAGGCCTCCGCATTGGCATCTACTCACTCAGCGCAGTGCCTGTTCCTGCCAGAAACCCCCGTAGTCTAACCCCAATCCTTCCACCCAGCGGCCTCACCCCTCAAATGCATCTCTCCTGGCCCCCAGCTGCCCCAGGTCCCCCCATGTTGGCCCGTTACAAGTCTAGCTGTTGTCTCTGCAGCTGCCAAACATGAGCTTGTTGGGAGTCCAAAGTCAAGTCCCTTGGACCCCCCACTCCTGACCAAGGAGAGACCCCTTCACCCACCCCTTCCCAGCTGGGAGGAGGAGGAGCAGGAGGGGAAGGACAGGCGGACTGACCCAGAATAACTCAGGGCTGAGAGTAAATTTAGCCACAGAGAGGGGAGGGGAGAGACCCTATTGGCTGGGAGGTGGGAGGGAGGGCCTGAGAGGGGGGTCAGGGGGCTCCCGAGACTGCCTCACAGGGGTGTCTGGTGCCGGCAGCGAGGGCCAGAGGAAGGCAGACGGGCAAAGGTGGGAGAGACACAGCGAAGGAACGGCAGCGAGAAAGAGAAAGACTCCAGAAGAGACAAGAACCCCCCACATTCGTCCACATCGCCGCAAGGGGCAACCAGAGCCAGCCTGGGAGAAGGTCTGCTGCCCGTCCGTCCCCATGGGCCGCCGTGGGCCATGGCTGCACACGTCTGTCCTCTGGGCTGCCGTGGCCAGCCTGCTCCTCCCTCCGGCCATGACCCAGCAGCTGAGAGGGGCTGGGCCCGGCCCCAGCAACTGGAATAGCAATGCGGGAGTCTCCTCCGAGGACATGTCAGGTGAGTTCGGCCACCCCACCCACAGCCACAGAGGCCACGGAGACGAGAGCGAGGGTGTTTTCACGGACAGTGGGCCTCCGTTCTGGAGCCACAGAGACCGCGGGGAAGAGGACGAAGATGTCTCCGGGGAATATGGTCACCGACTCCAAGGCCACGAGGCCGGAGACGAGAATGTCTCTGATGAGGAGGTCTTCGCAGAGCGTGGCCATGGGAATGACCGCGTGGCTGATTCAGCCGCGCATGGGCACCACTTCCCCAGCCACAGGAGCCACGGCCATCAAGACGAGGATGAGAACGAAGTTGTGTCCAGTGAGTATCAACATCACATGATGAGGCAGGTACACCGAGGCCACGGAGGAGAGGAGGAGGAGGAAGAGGAGGAGGAGGGTGTTTCTATTGAGTATGGACACCAGGCCCATAAGCACCGAGGCCACAGAGAAGAAGATGATGATGATGATGGTGATGATGGTGATGATGGTGATGATGGTGATGATGATGATGGCTCTAATGAGTATGGCCTCCAGGCCCACAGGTCCCAAGCCCACAGGGAGGAAAAAGATGACGATGACTCAGATGAACACCACCACCATGTCCCTGGCCACGGACACCAAGGCCACAAAGAAGAAGAAGATGAGGATGATGATGATGATGATGCCTCCATTGAGTACGGACACTGGACGTACAGGCACCAAGACCACAGCAAGCAAGAGGAGGAAGATGACTCAGATGAGGATGAACACCACCATCATGTCCCTGGCCACGGACACCAAGGCCACAGAGAAGAAGAAGAAGATGAGGATGAGGATGAGGATGAGGATGAGGATGTCTCCATCAAGTATGGACACCTAGCCCACAGGCACCACGGCCACGTGAAGGAAGAGGATGCAGTCTCGGACGAGCACCGCCATCATGCCCCCAGCCGTGGACATCCAGGCCATGGAGACAAGGAAGACGAGGGTGAGGATGTGTCCACTGAACATTGGCACCAGCTTTCCAGACACACTCCCCACCGCCTTGGAGATGAGGAGGAGGAGGAGGAGGCCACGGTCAAGTTCAGTCACCACGTTGCCAGCTACCAACCGCCAGGCTCCAAGAGCACTGAGGAGGAGTACTTCCCAGACGAGTATAAAGCAGAAGTCCCCGGCCATCACCCCCACGGAGTCCCCGAGGAGGCAGACGAGGACAGCTCTGCCAAGCTGGGCCACCAAGCTCCCAGCCATCGTCAACAAGGCCACGGCGATGAAGAGACGGGCCAGAAAGTGTCCATCAAAGAAATGAGCCCCGGGGCCCCAGAGCACACCGGGGTCAAGGATAGAAGCCATTTGGGGGGAAGAGATTCTGAGGAGGAAGAGGAAGAGGAAAGAGAAGAAGAGCACAGCTCCCAGGAGGAAGATGAGGAAGATTCAGAGCAGGAAGAAGAAGGCGCCCACCAAGGCAGCCGGGCCCAGGAGGACGAGGAAGATGAGGAGGAAGGCCATGGCCTCAGCCTGAGCCAGGAGGAGAAGGAGGAGGAGGAGCAGGAGGATGAAGAAGAAGAAGAGGAGAGGAGAGAAGAGAGGACTGAGGTTCAGGCCCCACTGAGCCAAGACCACCACGGGGAGGAAGACGAGGAGGAGGAGCTGGAGGAAAATCGGCTTCCGTTCACCATCATCCCCAACCCACTGGCCAGGAGGGAGGCGGCTGGAGGCGGCCCCCGGGAGGAAGAGAGCGGTGAAGCCGGTAAGTGCTCTGGCCCGGTGGGAGCGGGAGGAGCCGGTCAGTGTGGGTCACTCCTGCCCTCCTGTCCCCACAGGTCCGCAGGATGCCCAAGAGTACGGCAACTACCAGCCAGGGTCCCTGTGTGGCTACTGCTCCTTCTGCAATGTATGTCCCCGGCCCAGGCCCACCCACCAAGCAGTCCCTGGAACTGGTCC